GCCCCGCCTCATTTATCCGGTATGGGGGGGCCGGGGCCACCTCCCTCACCCCGTAGGGTAAGGGGGTGAGCCCGAAATCCCCCGCCCGCCTCTGTGCCCCGGCCGCCATGCTCCATCCCGCAGCCCCTCAGAGGATAATTCTCTGAAATTGTGTCAAAAACACCAATCCGGCAGGTTTCACTGTAATTTTCCTTCCACACTTATAAACTAAAAGCTGAAGCACGAGCTATCACCATCAGTCGAGGGTCAGCCCGTGAGGAATCGCCCCCAGAAGGGCTCCTTCTGCCAAAAGTGACCCAGACTGGTGCTGAGATTTCTTTCTTTTTCTCATGGCATATGTGTCCAAGTCCTAAACATCAGCTCAGAGAAGGGTAATAATTACTATTGTCCAGGCATTTAACTACTTGGTCATTCCAGTGGGGTTATCGCCGTACTTTCCTTGCTGCTCGCTTTAAAGAGGTGTTTGTATTACGGTGGCCGGGAAAAATACTGCTTTTCCTATTCCTGATTTGTGATTAGAAAGCGATTTGACGTAGTAGTTCAGTAGACACCTCTTAAATAAGATGATCTCTGTGTTTAGTACCTTTTAAGTTTATTCCAAATGGATTCATGTACTGCATGTACACACGTACATAATATACATAATAAATGTACATAATAAACACCAGTCCACCAAACCACGAGCAGCTATGGATCCTGCAATGGGCTGTTGTGGCCAGCTGACCCCAAACCTAGTAATAGAGGAAGGGTAATTTTTGGTTAAAGCAGAATCATTGCTTTTACAAAAACTGGTTCTGCTCATTCGCTGCCAAGGAGAGTAATGGGAGGGTCAGAACTTGGTGCAACAAAGCTTACTTCTCCCCTCTGTCTGTCTTTTTAAACCCTGATCTAGTCTTATAAATTAAGAGGCACAGGTGTATATTGAAACCAGACCCTGCTGTACTGACCTGTCTCTTCCATGAGCAATCAAGATTAAAAAAAAAAAAAAAAAGCAAATTTTCTAACTTGTGCTTAGTAACTTAACCTTAAATTGCTAGATAAGAAAGAAAGTTAATATGGAAGTGAGCAGAATTAGTTACCCAGTTAGGAGAACTTTATTGGACTTCCCCCCCCCCCCAAATACTTTTTGACTCCTCTGGGCAGTTCTTTGAACTTGAATTATTAAAGTTATGGGGTCAATTTATTCCTCTGTCCTACAGAAACAGCATTGATTTCATTATACCACGCGGAAGTGTTGGGATAACAAATAGCACAAGGAAATTAGACCAGATGAGGCTGCTTTATTTCCCATACATCTTAACATCATTTTGTACTCATTTAAAAAAAAGCAATCAAAGTATTTTCAAAGCATTGCATTTTTATTTGGAATTTCTGAGAGTCTCACTAGCAGTTTGAAGTCTTCCTGACTCCGATACAAACACAGCATTGTGCCGCATTTTCATACGAACACGCAGTGCTACACTTGGGCACAAAACAGGGCACGACCTCAGGGCTGTCCTTTCCTGGCACATGGGTCATGTTCTGAAAGTTATTCCACAGATTATCCTTTTTTCCCCCTCCACTTTTAGCTTGAAAAGATGGATTCGGTGCAAACAGAGAGTGGACACAAGAAGCTGCCAGGTGCAGAAGCAGCATGCTGCTCTGATTCATCATCTGCTGGCTGTGGAATCTAATGTAACGCCTATTGTGTTTCCCACATTTAATGTGTTGTTTCTGATGCTCCAGCACAGGCTTTGTTTTTCCAATAGCCTCATTGCAGTTGGGGAGAGAGAAGCCTTCACATGAAGTTTATTTATTTATTTCTGATCCTCATAGTTCAGATAAGCTACATAAAGTAATTTCCCTGTTGGCCTGTATCATCTGGAAGGGTACTGTAACCCTTCATTGAATCCTCCTTTTCCCCCCCTCACGTCCTGGGTCATCGCATCCGTACCTTCATCTCCACATCACCTCCTTTGTACACTGCTGTTTCAGCACCGCCTCTGCTGCCTGTGCCCCATCTTGCCCCTTTCATCTCTTCCCCATGGCCACTACAAGGCTCATTTTTCCCTGACCACAGCACCATCTCCCACCTTGCAGTGCATGTACCAACATCCTCCTAGCAAGGGCTGCTTTCTCCCTCATATCAGGTTCTAGACAGAAAAGCATACTGCAACCTCACCCCATTTATTTTACTTGCAAATATCTTTTTTTGCCCTAACTCTTCCACTTGAACCTCTTCATCCATTCCCTTCATCTAGTAAAACCACTGCCACCAGCCTCTCCCTTAAAAATAAATCAGACCCCTAAAGCTGCTCACCAACCCTCTGTCTTTCAGACTTCCTAGAAAGCTTTTCCATTCTTTTCCTGTCTCTTACCTCTTTGTTTCTGGTTTTGGGGGCGGTTATCTGATTTTTCTTCATGACGTTATCCCATTAAGAAGCATTTCGATTAAAACATGACCAAGAAAAATGCTCAAGTGCTATAAACTCATTTGAGTTATAGAAGCAGGCGATGCCTCGCTGGCCCTGTCGACCTCCCAGACTACATCTGTGCATGATAAGTAGGTACTCACGCCTAGATTTCCAAATTAAACTGTGCACAGAGTTGGGCTGTACAGTGTGGTACCCATCTAATCTCCCTCATGGAAGTCAGTGGCTGGCTGTGATTTAAAACCCCAATCTAGAAGATGGAAAAACTTCAGCGCTCTCCATGTTTCTATTAGACCCTGCTAAATTATAATGCAACTGAAATGTAATTACTTTGCATCCTGCACAGAGAATATAAAACATGGAGGTAGTAATATGAGTTTACTGGTCTAGAGCAAGCCACAATAAATTTAATTAAGATGGCCTCATGTAAAACACACACAAATACAACAAAGTTCACCTATTTTGGGTCTCAGGGTCATTCCCCCCCCTCAAAAAAAGGTTAACTATTTTTTTTTAAAGAAGCTGAATTAATCCCCTTATGCTACAAGGAAAAGTTTGACAAAAAGAAGTATGGGGGTTAGCATGTTTTAATAGCATCTACCTAATCATCTCGACATTTTAAGTGATTTCACTTAAAACTAAATGAAAAACATACCACTAGAGAAAGCATTTCATCCCATGCATTCACTATTGGCTACGCTTTTGTCCAGTCTGTACCCACCCACATGGCATTTATCCCTCAATACTCTGCAAGAAATACAGGCACAGTAATACCCGAGGAAACAATTCACATTATCTTCAGTGTGCATTTGGTAAAAGGTACATCAAATCCTTGGAAAATGGAGCTTCTCAGTTCAGCATGAAAGCCCATTTAGCAAAGCCACGCTGTGGTGGTGTAGGAATGGGAAAAGTGAGTTCTGGCTGCAAAAACACCTGCAGGGAAAATGCCAAGATCTCCCCATCTCCATTATAACAATATTTATTAAGGCTGCAGCTGCTTCTGATGGTGCCTTAAGATCTTTGGGTTCAGGGGAAGATAGAAATCAACCAAGAAAGTGAAGTGTTTCACAAGTTTTGACATGAACTGCCTGTTTGCAAGCTTGTCCTGGGTGAGAAAAGTATTTTTCTTTCTTCCTGCGCGCAGCTGCTATTATGGAGTCCTGGCCCTTAAGCAAGGTGGTCATGGTAGTGGTAAGCA